TCACTTGTAGCCGGACAAGGGTTTTAAAGATTTTAAATGTGTTTTAATAGTTCTAAAATAAAAATTAAATTTAAGGAATATCACTTGTAGCCGGACAAGGGTTTCAAAGATTTTAAATGTGTTTTATTACTTCTAAAATAAAAATTAAATTTTTAAGAATATCACTTGCAGCCGGACAAGGGTTTCGAGGATATTAAATGTGTTTTATTAGTTCTAAAATAAAAATTGAATTAAATGAATATCACTTTTTGCCGGACAAGGGTTTCAAAGATTTTAAATGTGTTTTATTAGTTCTAAAATAAAAATTAAATTTTAATGAATATCACTTGTAGCCGGACAAGGGTCTCATCGATTTTAAATGTGTTTTATTAGTTCTAAAATAATCACTTGTAGCCGGACAAGGGTTTCAAGGAATTTAAATGTGGTTTAATAGTTCTAAAATATAAATTGAATTTAAGGAATATCACTTGTAGCCGGACAAGGGTTTTAAGTTTTTTAAATATGTTTTATTAGTTCTAAAATAAAAATTAACTTTAAAAAATATCACTTGCAGCCGGACAAGGGTTTCAAATGTTTTAAATATTTACTATAAATTCTGAAATAATAGTAAAATTTAAAAAATATCACTTGCATCCGGACAAGAGTTTCAAATGTTTTAAGCCGGACAAGGGTTTCAAAGATTTGAAATTTTTTTATGAGTTCTAAAATAAAAAATTAAATTTAAAAAATTTCACTTGTAGCCGGACAAGGGTTTCAAATGTTTTAAATATGTTTTTTTAGTTTTAAAATAAAAATTAACTGTAAAAAATATCGCTTGCAGCCGGACAAGGGTTTCAAAGATTTTAAATGTATTTTATTAGTTCTAAAATAAAAATTAAATGTAAAGAATATCACTTGTAGCCGGACAAGGGTTTCAACGATTTTAAATGTGTTTTATTAGTTCTAAAATAAAAATTAAATATAAAGAAAATCACTTGTAGCCGGACAAGGGTTTCAACGATTTTAAATGTGTTTTAGTAGTTCTAAAATAAAAATTAAATTTAAGGAATATTACTTGTCGCCGGACAAGGGTTTCAACGATTTTAAATGTGTTTTATTAGTTCTCAAATAATCACTTGTAGCCGGACAAGGGTTACAAAGATTTTAAATGTGTTTTATTACTTCTAAAATAAAAATTAAATTTTAAAGAATATCACTTGTAGCCGGACAAGGGTTTCAACGATTTTAAATATGTTTTAGTAGTTCTAAAATAAAAATTAAATTTAAGGAATATTACTTGTCGCCGGACAAGGGTTTCAACGATTTTAAATGTGTTTTATTAGTTCTAAAATAAAAATTGAATTTATGGAATATCACGTGTAGCCGGACAAGAGTTTCATAGATTTTAAATGTATTTTATTAGTTCTAAAATAAAAATTAAATGTAAAGAATATCACTTGTAGCCGGACAAGGGTTTCAACGATTTTAAAGGTGTTTTATTAGTTCTAAAATAAAAATTAAATATAAAGAATATCACTTGTAGCCGGACAAGGGTTTCAAATGTTTTAAATATGTTTTATTAGTTCTAAAATAATCACTTGTAGCCGGACAAGGGTTTCAAGGAATTTAAATGTGTTTTAATAGTTCTAAAATAAAAATTGAATTTATGGAATATCACGTGTAGCCGGACAAGAGTTTCAAAGATTTTAAATGTATTTTATTAGTTCTAAAATAAAAATTAAATGTAAAGAATATCACTTGTAGCCGGACAAGGGTTTCAAATTTTTTAAATATGTTTTATTATTTTTAAAATAAAAAATAACTGTAAAAAATATCACTTGCAGCCGGACAATGGTTTCAACGATTTTAAATGTGTTTTATTAGTTCTAAAATAATCACTTGTAGCCGGACAAGGGTTTCAAGGAATTTAAATGTGTTTTAATAGTTCTAAAATAAAAATTGAATTTATGGAATATCACGTGTAGCCGGACAAGAGTTTCAAAGATTTTAAATGTATTTTATTAGTTCTAAAATAAAAATTAAATGTAAAGAATATCACTTGTAGCCGGACAAGGGTTTCAAATTTTTTAAATATGTTTTATAAGTTCTAAAATAAAAATTAAATGTAAATAATATCACTTTTAGCCGGACAATGGTTACGAGGATATTAAATGTGTTTTTATAGTTCTAAAATAAAAATTGAATTTAAGGAATATCACTTGTAGCCGGACAAGGGTTTCAAAGATTTTAAATGTGTTTTAATAGTTCTAAAATAAAAATTAAATTTAAGGAATATTACTTGTAGCCGGACAAGGGTTACAAAGATTTTAAATGTGTTTTATTACTTCTAAAATAAAAATTAAATGTAAAGAATATCACTTGTAGCCGGACAAGGGTTTCAACGATTTTAAATGTGTTTTAGTAGTTCTAAAATAAAAATTAAATTTAAGGAATATTACTTGTCGCCGGACAAGGGTTTCAACGATTTTAAATGTGTTTTATTAGTTCTAAAATAAAAATTAAATTTTAGGAATATTACTTGTCGCCGGACAAGGGTTTCAACGATTTTAAATGTGTTTTATAAGTTCTAAAATAATCACTTGTAGCCGGACAAGGGTTTCAAGGAATTTAAATGTGTTTTAATAGTGCTAAAATAAAAATTGAATTTATGGAATATCACGTGTAGCTGGACAAGAGTTTCAAAGATTTTAAATGTATTTTATTAGTTCTAAAATAAAAATTAAATGTAAAGAATATCACTTGTAGCCGGACAAGGGTTTCAAATTTTTTAAATATGTTTTATTATTTTTAAAATAAAAAATAACTGTAAAAAATATCACTTGCAGCCGGACAAGGGTTTCAAAGATTTTAAATGTATTTTATTAGTTCTAACATAAAAATTTAAATTTAAAAAATATCACTTGTAGCCGGACAAGGGTTTCAAATGTTTTAAATATGTTTTATAAGTTCTAAAATAAAAATTAAATGTTAATAATATCCCTTTCAGCCGGACAAGGGTTACGAGGATATTAAATGTGTTTTTATAGTTCTAAAATAAAAATTGAATTTAAGGAATATCACTTGTAACCGGACAAGGGTTTCAAAGATTTTAAATGTGTTTTAATAGTTCTAAAATAAAAATTAAATTTAAGGAATATGACTTGTAGCCGGACAAGGGTTACAAAGATTTTAAATGTATTTTATTAGTTCTAAAATAAAAATTAAATGTAAAGAATATCACTTGTAGCCGGACAAGGGTTTCAAATTTTTTAAATATGTTTTATTATTTTTAAAATAAAAAATAACTGTAAAAAATATCACTTGCAGCCGGACAAGGGTTTCAAAGATTTTAAATGTATTTTATTAGTTCTAACATAAAAATTTAAATTTAAAAAATATCACTTGTAGCCGGACAAGGGTTTCAAATGTTTTAAATATGTTTTATAAGTTCTAAAATAAAAATTAAATGTTAATAATATCACTTTCAGCCGGACAAGGGTTACGAGGATATTAAATGTGTTTTTATAGTTCTAAAATAAAAATTGAATTTAAGGAATATCACTTGTAACCGGACAAGGGTTTCAAATGTTTTAAATATGTTTTTTTAGTTTTAAAATAAAAATTAACTGTAAAAAATATCGCTTGCAGCCGGACAAGGGTTTCAAAGATTTTAAATGTATTTTATTAGTTCTAAAATAAAAATTAAATGTAAAGAATATCACTTGTAGCCGGACAAGGGTTTCAACGATTTTAAATGTGTTTTATTAGTTCTAAAATAAAAATTAAATATAAAGAAAATCACTTGTAGCCGGACAAGGGTTTCAACGATTTTAAATGTGTTTTAGTAGTTCTAAAATAAAAATTAAATTTAAGGAATATTACTTGTCGCCGGACAAGGGTTTCAACGATTTTAAATGTGTTTTATTAGTTCTCAAATAATCACTTGTAGCCGGACAAGGGTTACAAAGATTTTAAATGTGTTTTATTACTTCTAAAATAAAAATTAAATTTTAAAGAATATCACTTGTAGCCGGACAAGGGTTTCAACGATTTTAAATATGTTTTAGTAGTTCTAAAATAAAAATTAAATTTAAGGAATATTACTTGTCGCCGGACAAGGGTTTCAACGATTTTAAATGTGTTTTATTAGTTCTAAAATAAAAATTGAATTTATGGAATATCACGTGTAGCCGGACAAGAGTTTCATAGATTTTAAATGTATTTTATTAGTTCTAAAATAAAAATTAAATGTAAAGAATATCACTTGTAGCCGGACAAGGGTTTCAACGATTTTAAAGGTGTTTTATTAGTTCTAAAATAAAAATTAAATATAAAGAATATCACTTGTAGCCGGACAAGGGTTTCAAATGTTTTAAATATGTTTTATTAGTTCTAAAATAATCACTTGTAGCCGGACAAGGGTTTCAAGGAATTTAAATGTGTTTTAATAGTTCTAAAATAAAAATTGAATTTATGGAATATCACGTGTAGCCGGACAAGAGTTTCAAAGATTTTAAATGTATTTTATTAGTTCTAAAATAAAAATTAAATGTAAAGAATATCACTTGTAGCCGGACAAGGGTTTCAAATTTTTTAAATATGTTTTATTATTTTTAAAATAAAAAATAACTGTAAAAAATATCACTTGCAGCCGGACAAGGGTTTCAACGATTTTAAATGTGTTTTATTAGTTCTAAAATAATCACTTGTAGCCGGACAAGGGTTTCAAGGAATTTAAATGTGTTTTAATAGTTCTAAAATAAAAATTGAATTTATGGAATATCACGTGTAGCCGGACAAGAGTTTCAAAGATTTTAAATGTATTTTATTAGTTCTAAAATAAAAATTAAATGTAAAGAATATCACTTGTAGCCGGACAAGGGTTTCAAATTTTTTAAATATGTTTTATAAGTTCTAAAATAAAAATTAAATGTAAATAATATCACTTTTAGCCGGACAATGGTTACGAGGATATTAAATGTGTTTTTATAGTTTGTAACGAACCGAATTAATTATTTAAATCGTCGTCACTGCTCGACTTCGATTAATCGATTGTCGATCTCTTGATGCGTATCGATTCGATACTTCTCGCGACTGAAATAGCAGACGACAAAACCGCGTGTTAAGCGAAACAACGCCAACCGGCAGATTGCTGCGAGCCATAGGCGAATAAGCATATAATTGTTGCGAGTCGCGGACTTTGTCGCAAACTGTACGCGAATCACATTAAGTGATAATAATTTGTTCTTTGTATTAATAAATATAATAATTGTGTTCCATAATCTTTCGTGCATTTAATTCAAATCTGTTTTACGTCTTGTGTTTGCCAAATCACTACAAAAGGGGAATATATCCGTCGTAGAGAGCCAGCGCACTACGGTAAGTTCACCTTTTAAATGGTCATTAATTCTGCAGTGCTTATGAACATTCTTTCTCTCGCTCTCTACCGCCAGTGTAGCCGCACCTGGAGAATTCTCGTCAAGTGTTGTTCCTGTGTGTATTGTGCTTTCCGTCGCGAGTCGAACCCGTGTTAACCCCTTCTAAAAAACTGAATCTCGCGTCAGGGCTGTCACAAAAATGGCGCCCAACGTGTATTTTTCATAAGCCATATTTGTGCACTTAGTCACAAAAATGGCGCCCAACGTGTATTTTTCATAAGCCATATTTGTGCACTTAGTCACAAAAATGGCGCCTAAAGTACTCTTTCCTTTATAATAAAATTAACATTTTATTTTTCCATGGCCAAATTGCGACTTTAGTCCCAATTAGAAGCCAAATTTGTTTTTATTTTTTTTTACAAATAAAAGTAAAATTACCTTTTTACTAAAACATCGCGAATTTTGAGAAATTTGTAACAAATTCTTTTTAAATTCTCGATCGCAAAAAAAAAACACAGGCACACACACTGATGAAAATTCTCTAACAAACACTATTAGCTCGCACAATCTCAATTTTAAAAGTAAATAATTGCTTCTAAAAATTCTATTGCTTTAAAATATTAAACATTATTACGCTTCGCTAATTTTATAACAAAACGCATCTGCTTCACTTTCTTCGATATACAAGATTTATTTGTAATTTTTTTTTCATGTAGAACTTCGCTCATCTAGAAAATTTATTTATGATTTTTATGTAGAACTTTGCTTATGTAGAAAATTTATTTGTAATTTTTTGTGTAGAACTTCGCTTATTATCTCATTTTCTATACAGAATTCGCTATATTTTTTTCTTTCTGTAAAATTTTTTGAAAATTTTTAAGTGCTGTTCGTGATAAAAATTACCATGGGCAATTTTATTTTAATAAAAAAATAAATGCTGCCTAAAAGTAACCTCTATAGAACACTGGATTCATCGTTCGATTATGCAACCAAAACACAGCTGTGTTTACATTCACAGCTCAACATTGTTTTTCGCAGGGTTTAGTCATTCCTTTCCAAATTAAATTCTTTCAAATTCTAATATTTGAAATTACAAAACCACAAATTTTGAATTAATCAAAATTTAATTAATTTCATTTTTTTTCCAACCAACAGATGAAATTATTATTTTCAAATAATTAATTAATTTTCATTTGTTGCTGTACTAATTAAAAATTGGAAAAACAAATGAATAAAAAATAAAAATAAATACAATTTTTCTTTTTAAATTAATTCTAAAGATCATCAAAAAAAAAAATCTCTCTTTTTATTTAATGAACTTTTGCAAATTTAATACCCTCTCTTAATGACTAACAAGAAAAAGACCCTACCACCAGGAGCGACAACCAGATCACGAACAAAAACAAACAAAATGTTTACCACTCCCCCTCCCCCAAAAAATTCAGAAGCAAATTTTACCGCGCCACAAGAGACAACCACTGATAATACAGAGTCAGTGATTCTCAACCCAGATCCTTTGAATTTAGAATCCCCACACAGAGATTCTACAATAAACAAAAAAAATGGCAACAACGAAACGCATAACGCTACCAGCAATCAAGCTAGCAACCACGAATCGACATTTTTTGTACCTTTTAAACCAGGGACAACCCCAAAAATCTCAATTCAAACGCGTCGTGGCCGAAAATCAAAAACTCCAACCCCAATAACTAACAAAGCGATAACACAAGTTCTCACACGTTTTAACACTATTCACGCAAATCAAACGGCACAAAATAATGACTTTCAACGCCACATGCAACAAATGTTAGATCGCAATTTAAATGAATCCCGCTTACAATTAAACAATTTTTATGCTGAAAATCGTCGCGAAATAAACGCAGCACGATTAGAAAATTTAAAACATAGCACAAATGAAATAAATGCCCTTAAAATAGAAACTTTTAAATTAATTCAAACAAATCAATTAGAAACAAATAAATTAATTCAAGAAAATCGAAGCGAAGTGAACAAAATGATCGAATCTCTCTCGCAAAAAATTTCGGATTTGCAAGTTAGGCAAACGCAATCTCCATGGCACGATTCTCGATGGGAATCAATTGACCCTGGCTATCGCGCTAGTACACAACAGGTAACACAGCCTACATCCCTACCACCTACATGTACCACTACTACAGTAACAACTACAAACACAGGGACTTACGCTACAATGAGCACAGGAATAGCACCAACTATACCCCCACCACTAGCTCCAACACCTTCACTAGGTGCCCCTATTCGCAACAGAACCTTACAATTTAGCGAACAATTAGAAAAATTCGATCAAACTCAATCTTTAAATGACTCTCTCAACTTACCACCAATTAATACTCAAGAACCTATCGCAAGACCTCCACCGGTACACCAAAGTCATATTGCTAATTTACACAAGGTTGTAAAATCTTGGGAATTAAAATTCCCAGGAAAACTAGACGCAGACGAATTCATCAACGAATTCGAACGCAAACTAGATGCATCCAATATCAATCCCGATGACGCACTCTCAACGTTATCCCAAGTATTTGTCGAATCCGCTTACACATGGTTCGCGACATTTCGCAATTCGTGGAACACGTGGACTGAATTTTCAGTCAAATTTCGATCAATATTTGGCGAATCCAATGATGATCAACGCATCACAAATAAAATTCAACGCGCTGTCCAACTTGAGGACGAATCAGGAATTGAATTCGTAATAAGAATAGGCTCATTATACAATAAACTTCAACACAAAGTACCCGAAGAAAGTCAACTTGACAAAGTTTACTCAGCGCTTCACGCTGACTTAATTTTGCAATTTGATCGCGACAGTTTCGCAAACTACGACGGTTTAATTAAAAAAATTCGCAAATACGAAGAAAAAATTGCAACAATGCAATTTACTTCAAAAATTCGCGAACAAGATTCTAAGAAAACCCACAACAAACGTAGTAAAAATGTATTAAACGCAATTGAAACACCCCCTCTTGCGACTGATTCCACTCAAAAATCAGAACCGCAAACGGAAACAAAAAAGAACATTGAGTCAAAAAAATCAAAAAACAATAAAAAACAAAACAAAAGCGAACCAGAAATTAGTTTAAATAAACTCGAAATTTACAAGCAACAAATTAAAAGACTAGAAGCAAAATTACCGCCGAACGAAAACTTAAAAGTAGAAAGTGGTAAAGGTGAAAAGAAACCACCTTCATCCCCACCACAGGCCCGTAAATCGCGCCGCCGTTCCACTTCAAGTTCCTCTCGCTCCTCACGTTCCGTGTCGTCGCGAAGAGAAGGGGGGAAGAGTAGACCGTCAACGCGCAGAAGTCGAGACCGTAGCCAAGACTCGAGACGAGACAAAGGCCACTACGATAAACGCAAAGATAGAAATCACAATAATTACCGTGGACGTGGACGAGGTCGTGGTCGCGGTTACAATAATCACGATTACTACCAATTTCTTGCGCAATTCAGTCAACCTGGTAACGCGCAACAACCGCTCCAACCCCCGCAAGCACCAACGCTACCGCAGGTACCACCTTGGTTCGGTAATTATAATCGCGACTATCCTAGCATGTTCAGTTACAACGCACCTAACCCTTTCTCTCCAAAAAACGAGAAAGATGCCAGGAGAGAATAGATCTCCCTGGCAAATCAACAATTATTATTAATGAAAATACGGAAAATCCCTATGATACGAAAATAAATTCAAAAAACCGCAATATTATCGTTAACCGTGCACTCCCCAGTTGCAGTCACACCGCAAACGACTCAACGTGTATTCCTCAAAATGCATCAGCGCTTAACCAAGCGCATGCCAGCAGGAATTACACCAGTGACTCCGAAAGCGAGTATGATGACATATGCTACTCAGATTCTGAGACAGAGTACACTGACTCGAGCAATGAGCTCCCCACTACCGAAAATTCGAAATTGGTAGAGGCGAGCATATCATCACTCATGTCAAAGCCCTCGTCACAACCAGCTGTTGGCTTATTAGCGGCAGCCAGTAAATTCAAGCGCTTAGTACACAAAGGGCCAGCACCGCCCCTACCGTCACAGAAACGTCGCACAATCACCACATCGATAAATATTGGCGGAAAAGAAATTATTGGTCTCATCGACACAGGTAGCGATCGCACCTTTATGTCAGGAGAAATATACGATCAATTAAAAGAATTCGCGAATAATAATCCAATCCTAGACGCAATTACACGCGCAGGAGTACAACTAGCTCAACGTGATCACGTAGCAGCGCCGCGATATTCTATAAAATTTGACGTTAAAATAAAAGATTGTATTGGTGAACTTTGGTTCGCAATCCTCGACGGATTAACCACGCCCATAATATTAGGCATGGATTTCATAACCGCATGGCAAGTCGTCATAGACGCCAGTGAAGGCTATTGGTCTATAAAAGGATCGAAAGCGCAAAGCCCTATTGTTTCAACAAACAATACGCGTAATTTTCTGAATTCGGTACAATTGCTAGAATTAACATCCGAACAAAGAAAAACTCTCGACGAATTTATTGATAAAAAATTATCAAACTTCGCCGATTACACCGGCATCACTGACCTTGCGACTCACGTTATCGAATTAATCGACCCAACACCATTTAAGCTCAAAGCACATCGTTACAGTACTGAAGCAAATAAAATAATCAACGAGCAAATTGATAAATATCTCGAAAAGAAATTTATAGTTAGAAGTTCCGGTCGTGTTTTGCAAGTCCAATTGTCCTCACGTATCGCAAAGATGGCAGACCAAGAGTTTGCATGGATTTCCGCAAATTAAATAAAAATACTAAAAAATCAGCTTATCCACTACCGCGCATGGACACTATCCTGGACGCACTATTCGAAGCTAACATTATTAGCACAATTGACCTTACAGACGCATTTCACCATGTACCAGTTCATCCCGATTCACGTGAATACACCGGTTTTGTAGTACCTGGCCGTGGCCAATTTGAATGGGTTAGAATGCCTTTTGGCCTAACAAATTCACCAGCCACTTTTCAAGAATTAACCGATAGGTTAAAAGAAAAATTTGTTGAACATATCCGCATAAACAATTTACCCGAACACTATGTTGATCAAGTACACGCGTACCTCGACGACTGGATTATCATTTCCAAAACGTTCGATGAACACATCTTGTTGTTAAATATTGTCCTTGATATTCTTCACAAAGCAGGTCTCACGATAAATCGAGAAAAATCATATTTCGCAAAATCTTCAGTCGAATATCTTGGTTTTATTCTTGATAAAGAAGGTCTTAAACCTAATTCGAAACGCGTAGATCCGATTTTAGAACGTCCTACCCCCCGTAATCGCAAAGAACTACGTCAGTTCAACGGTTCCGTGAACTGGTACCATAGACATTTGCGAAACATCGCGCGAGTACAAGGTCCATTAAATAAATTAGCTAGTCCCAAAGTACCGTGGAAATGGACAGAAATACACGAGGAAGCTTACCAAGAAGTAAAAAATTTATTGAAAAATGCATTAACGCTAAATGCACCGCGACCAAATTTACCATTCTTCTTATACACAGATGCAAGTGACACCGGCATAGGTGCCATTCTCACGCAAAAAGACGAAGATAGAGAATATCTCATCACATGTCTGAGCAGACCTTTGAGAGGTGCAGAGTTAAATTATACTACCACTGAGAAGGAATGCTTAGCTGTGATTTTTGCGATTAAGAAATTGCGCTGTTATCTCGAAGCTACAGAATTTACGGTTATCACCGATCATTCTAGTCTGGTTTGGTTGCAAAACCTAAAAGATTCGCGAGGTCGACTTGCTCGATGGGCGTTAGAATTATCAGCAAACAATGCGAAAATTGAACATCGCAAAGGTACCACCAACGAAGCAGCTGATACTCTTTCGCGCCTCTATGAGAATGTCCCCGAGGACACGCCCACTTTACAGCTTAGTCGCACCCACAGCATATCTTGGTACGATGAAATGGTTGAACGCGTACGCAATACCCCCACGCGCTACGAACGATACAGACTTGACTCAGACAGCAATCTGTATTACTACAAACCTAATCAACTCAAGGAAAGCATAGGCGATAATAATGCATGGAAGAAAGTTTTGAAAGAAAATGAAATACTTCCGATTATTTCTAAATATCACGACTCTCCACAGTCCGCACATCAAGGCATAAATAAAACTTATTTATCAATTATTAACCATTATTACTGGCCCGGTATACGCGAAGATATTAAAAGATATATCAATGAATGCGAAGTTTGCCTAAAATGTAAACCTAAAAACAACCCCCCTCAAGGACTCATGTATCCACGCAAATTTAGCGAACCATGGGACATTGTTTCATTAGATATTGTAGGCCCACTTCCGCGATCCAAATTAGGAAAATCTTATATCCTGGTTTGCGAAGACATTTATACGCGATATATCGAATGTTTCACTTTATCGAAAGCCGATGGCCCAAAAATTGTGAAGTCATTAAACACTTTAATTAACAAATGGGGAACACCCAGAACATTTGTTACTGACAACGGAACAGAATTCGTTAACCGCACTATCGCGAAATTTCTTAACGAAGTCGGTTCTGAACAACGCACAACGCCTGTCTATCACCCGCAGTCAAACCCCGTCGAACGCGTTAACCGCAACCTCAAGATGATGATCGCCAGCCTCCTTGGCGAAAATCAACGCGAATGGGATTTGTTGTTAGAAGAAATACAATTTGCTTATAACACTACCGTCCATTCCTCCTTAGGTGTCACCCCCGCATTCTTGAACTTCGCTCGCGAACCAAGACGCATGGGAGAACAAAATTGCCAAACTGACGCTAAATTGACAAATGACTATACGACCAACGCCTGGACAGAAAGGGTAAAACGCATAGACATTCTCCGTGCAAAAGTTCAAAAATTAATGGCTAAAGCTTCCGAAAAACAAAGAAAAATTTATAATAAAAATCGTAAAAATGATATACATTTCGAACTTGGTAATTTAGTGTTCTATCCAAATAATAAATTATCTAAAGCTATTGAAGGATATAGTTCAAAATTAGCGCCTCGATATAAAGGCCCAGCCATTATTACAGAAAAATTATCACCCATGGTGGTTATTATCAGCGACACACATGGTAAAAAAATTGGTAAATACCATGTAAATGATTTAAAACTCGCAAAAAGGGGTCTTCGATCGCAAAACAAATTGTAACTCTCTTTTCAGATTCAATATGGATTCAACGGTCAACAACACTGCCAATTCACTCAAGCTTCCCGAGATCCCAGTGATCCAAATCTCCGTGATCTCTAACGAAGGCAAGCAGGTGGAGTTCTCTAACCGACCATCAGGGCTCATCGCGTTATCCAAGACAGACTTTGAAAGCCTTGTAAGCTCGCGACAAGAGTTCTCTGATCAATTGATGGAAGCTCATAAAACCATCAACGACCTCCGCGATAAGCTTTCCGAAACCGAAGCGACTACGAACACTAATGGCGTTCCCGACGTAGCAACACACTACAAGATGCTCACTGAACTGCTGCAAGAGAAGCAGAAACTGGCGGAGCAACTGCCGAGATATAAAGAAGAGGCACTTCACTTTAAGTCTGAAGCTACAAAGCAGAAGAAGTTGGTCGACTCGTATGAAATTGACTACAACTCACTACTTGCCGACTACAACTACCTCGAGAAATTGTATCACCGTACACGCGATCTGTTCCGACACAAAGTCTCTGAAGTATTTAAAATGCAGTCAGAACTTCGCGAAATTCGAATCAGACCAAGAGCACCAGAAGGATGTCTCAATTGTGGGTCACCAGGACACAGCTTCAAGTGTTGTAAAAAAGCATATAGCGAACGATTTTGCCAAATATGCGCAAACCCAGATTTTAGCACCGACGAATGCCCATGGCCACACGTCGCAGATGGAAAGTTCGACGTACCGGAACATCAACGCTGCAAAGTATGCAAGAGACCAAAGAACTTGCCTGACGTCAACTGTGGTGAATGCCGCAGAAGAGTTATCGAGATCAAAATCGCGAAAAGAGACCAGCAGATAATAGAGCTCGTCAAACGCACGATCGAGAAACCAACACTGCAGAACAAAAGAACATCGCAAAAAGAAACATGCAAAGTTGACGACGAAGCTTCTAAACCCAGAAGTCCAGTTACGCGAAAAACATCTCCAGAACTGATACCTTCAGAGATCGCTGGAAATGACTCACGGGATCCCAGCAGAATACTAGCACCATTTGACTCCGATGACAACAATGCAGATCTGTGGGAAACACTTTGTCAAGCCTATAAGCTTGGCATCAAGGACGAAGAAGAGTGAAAATTGCGAAAATTCGCAAGAGACATTACCAGTACTTAGAGACATTTTTAGTTTAAGCAAATATTGCTAAGTGCTGTGAATATTATTACTTATAAGTATTATTTTAGTTTTTTTGTTACTCATATTTTTTGCAATGCTCGAAACGCGAATTTTCATACTCCACAATATTTTTTAGTTTTATATACATCTTCGCGATATTCGAGCACAGTTTCACAAAATCATTGTATCCTTATATTAGTTATAGATTTTCTTTAGCGCAATACAAAATACTCGCTCCTAGAAAACTACTCTATTCTTCTACTACAATTTTGTATTACATTACAACCATTCGTTCGCAATAAAATCTAATACCATTTTGTAATCGATTAACGCATTATTCCCCAAAGAGAACGAACGTTAATAAGCACTATAATTTCTCTTATTTTCAAAAAAAAAAAAAAAAAAAAAAAAAATTATTTCCATTTCATTTTTAAATTCAAATCTGAATATTCTTTTTATATTTCTTTTAACTAAATAACTTTTACTTATTATGATTGCAATGACCAAATAAGGTGAACTAATAAAAAAAATGTTTTTTTTGTATGTTTACTAATTATGTTCTTTCCAGCGCCGAGAATCGAATACAGCAGTGACTCCGATTAAGTAAGGGGGATTGTAACGAACCGAATTAATTATTTAAATCGTCGTCACTGCTCGACTTCGATTAATCGATTGTCGATCTCTTGATGCGTATCGATTCGATACTTCTCGCGACTGAAATAGCAGACGACAAAACCGCGTGTTAAGCGAAACAACGCCAACCGGCAGATTGCTGCGAGCCATAGGCGAATAAGCATATAATTGTTGCGAGTCGCGGACTTTGTCGCAAACTGTACGCGAATCACATTAAGTGATAATAATTTGTTCTTTGTATTAATAAATATAATAATTGTGTTCCATAATCTTTCGTGCATTTAATTCAAATCTGTTTTACGTCTTGTGTTTGCCAAATCACTACAAAAGGGGAATATATCCGTCGTAGAGAGCCAGCGCACTACGGTAAGTTCACCTTTTAAATGGTCATTAATTCTGCAGTGCTTATGAACATTCTTTCTCTCGCTCTCTACCGCCAGTGTAGCCGCACCTGGAGAATTCTCGTCAAGTGTTGTTCCTGTGTGTATTGTGCTTTCCGTCGCGAGTCGAACCCGTGTTAACCCCTTCTAAAAAACTGAATCTCGCGTCAGGGCTGTCACAAGTTCTAAAATAAAAATTGAATTTAAGGAATATCACTTGTAGCCGGACAAGGGTTTCAAAGATTTTAAATGTGTTTTAATAGTTCTAAAATAAAAATTAAATTTAAGGAATATTACTTGTAGCCGGACAAGGGTTACAAAGATTTTAAATGTGTTTTATTACTTCTAAAATAAAAATTAAATGTAAAGAATATCACTTGTAGCCGGACAAGGGTTTCAACGATTTTAAATGTGTTTTAGTAGTTCTAAAATAAAAATTAAATTTAAGGAATATTACTTGTCGCCGGACAAGGGTTTCAACGATTTTAAATGTGTTTTATTAGTTCTAAAATAAAAATTAAATTTTAGGAATATTACTTGTCGCCGGACAAGGGTTTCAACGATTTTAAATGTGTTTTATAAGTTCTAAAATAATCACTTGTAGCCGGACAAGGGTTTCAAGGAATTTAAATGTGTTTTAATAGTGCTAAAATAAAAATTGAATTTATGGAATATCACGTGTAGCTGGACAAGAGTTTCAAAGATTTTAAATGTATTTTATTAGTTCTAAAATAAAAATTAAATGTAAAGAATATCACTTGTAGCCGGACAAGGGTTTCAAATTTTTTAAATATGTTTTATTATTTTTAAAATAAAAAATAACTGTAAAAAATATCACTTGCAGCCGGACAAGGGTTTCAAAGATTTTAAATGTATTTTATTAGTTCTAACATAAAAATTTAAATTTAAAAAATATCACTTGTAGCCGGACAAGGGTTTCAAATGTTTTAAATATGTTTTATAAGTTCTAAAATAAAAATTAAATGTTAATAATATCCCTTTCAGCCGGACAAGGGTTACGAGGATATTAAATGTGTTTTTATAGTTCTAAAATAAAAATTGAATTTAAGGAATATCACTTGTAACCGGACAAGGGTTTCAAAGATTTTAAATGTGTTTTAATAGTTCTAAAATAAAAATTAAATTTAAGGAATATGACTTGTAGCCGGACAAGGGTTACAAAGATTTTAAATGTATTTTATTAGTTCTAAAATAAAAATTAAATGTAAAGAATATCACTTGTAGCCGGACAAAAGTTTCAAATTTTTTAAATATGTTTTATTATTTTTAAAATAAAAAATAACTGTAAAAAATATCACTTGCAGCCGGACAAGGGTTTCAAAGATTTTAAATGTATTTTATTAGTTCTAACATAAAAATTTAAATTTAAAAAATATCACTTGTAGCCGGACAAGGGTTTCAAATGTTTTAAATATGTTTTATAAGTTCTAAAATAAAAATTAAATGTTAATAATATCACTTTCAGCCGGACAAGGGTTACGAGGATATTAAATGTGTTTTTATAGTTCTAAAATAAAAATTGAATTTAAGGAATATCACTTGTAACCGGACAAGGGTTTCAAAGATTTTAAATGTGTTTTAATAGTTCTAAAATAAAAATTAAATTTAAGGAATATGACTTGTAGCCGGACAAGGGTTACAAAGATTTTAAATGTGTTTTATTACTTCTAAAATAAAAATTAAATTTTAAAGAATATCACTTGTAGCCGGACAAGGGTTTCAACGATTTTAAATATGTTTTAGTAGTTCTAAAATAAAAATTAAATTTAAGGAATATTACTTGTCGCCGGACAAGGGTTTCAACGATTTTAAATGTGTTTTATTAGTTCTAAAATAAAAATTAAATTTTAGGAATATTACTTGTCGCCGGAAAAGGGTTTCAACGATTTTAAATGTGTTTTATTAGTTCTCAAATAATCACTTGTAGCCGGACAAGGGTTTCAAGGAATTTAAATGTGTTTTAATAGTTCTAAAATAAAAATTGAATTTATGGAATATCACGTGTAGCCGGACAAGAGTTTCATAGAATTTAAATGTATTTTATTAGTTCTAAAATAAAAATTAAATGTAAAGAATATCACTTGTAGCCGGACAAGGGTTTCAAATGTTTTAAATATGTTTTATTAGTTCTAAAATAAAAATTAACTGTAAAAAATATCACTTGCAGCTGGACAAGGGTTTCAAAGATTTTAAATGTATTTTATTAGTTCTAACATAAAAATTTAAATTTAAAAAATATCACTTGTAGCCGGACAAGGGTTTCAAATGTTTTAAATATGTTTTATAAGTTCTAAAATAAAAATTAAATGTTAATAATATCACTTTCAGCCGGACAAGGGTTACGAGGATATTAAATGTGTTTTTATAGTTCTAAAATAAAAATTGAATTTAAGGAATATCACTTGTAACCGGACAAGGGTTTCAAAGATTTTAAATGTGTTTTAATAGTTCTAAAATAAAAATTAAATTTAAGGAATATGACTTGTAGCCGGACAAGGGTTACAAAGATTTTAAATGTGTTTTATTACTTCTAAAATAAAAATTAAATTTTAAAGAATATCACTTGTAGCCGGACAAGGGTTTCAACGATTTTAAATATGTTTTAGTAGTTCTAAAATAAAAATTAAATTTAAGGAATATTACTTGTCGCCGGACAAGGGTTTCAACGATTTTAAATGTGTTTTATTAGTTCTAAAATAAAAATTAAATTTTAGGAATATTACTTGTCGCCGGAAAAGGGTTTCAACGATTTTAAATGTGTTTTATTAGTTCTCAAATAATCACTTGTAGCCGGACAAGGGTTTCAAGGAATTTAAATGTGTTTTAATAGTTCTAAAATAAAAATTGAATTTATGGAATATCACGTGTAGCCGGACAAGAGTTTCATAGAATTTAAATGTATTTTATTAGTTCTAAAATAAAAATTAAATGTAAAGAATATCACTTGTAGCCGGACAAGGGTTTCAAATGTTTTAAATATGTTTTATTAGTTCTAAAATAAAAATTAACTGTAAAAAATATCACTTGCAGCTGGACAAGGGTTTCAAAGATTTTAAATGTATTTTATTAGTTCTAACATAAAAATTTAAATTTAAAAAATATCACTTGTAGCCGGACAAGGGTTTCAAATGTTTTAAATATGTTTTATAAGTTCTAAAATAAAAATTAAATGTTAATAATATCACTTTCAGCCGGACAAGGGTTACGAGGATATTAAATGTGTTTTTATAGTTCTAAAATAAAAATTGAATTTAAGGAATATCACTTGTAACCGGACAAGGGTTTCAAAGATTTTAAATGTGTTTTAATATTTCTAAAATAAAAATTAAATTTAAGGAATATGACTTGTAGCCGGACAAGGGTTACAAAGATTTTAAATGTGTTTTATTACTTCTAAAATAAAAATTAAATTTTAAAGAATATCACTTGTAGCCGGACAAGGGTTTCAACGATTTTAAATATGTTTTAGTAGTTCTAAAATAAAAATTAAATTTAAGGAATATTACTTGTCGCCGGACAAGGGTTTCAACGATTTTAAATGTGTTTTATTAGTTCTAAAATAAAAATTAAATTTTAGGAATATTACTTGTCGCCGGACAAGGGTTTCAACGATTTTAAATGTGTTTTATTAGTTCTCAAATAATCACTTGTAGCCGGACAAGGGTTTCAAGGAATTTAAATGTGTTTTAATAGTTCTAAAATAAAAATTGAATTTATGGAATATCACGTGTAGCCGGACAAGAGTTTCATAGATTTTAAATGTATTTTATTAGTTCTAAAATAAAAATTAAATGTAAAGAATATCACTTGTAGCCGGACAAGGGTTTTAACGATTTTAAATGTGTTTTATTAGTTCTAAAATAAAAATTAAATATAAAGAATATCACTTGTAGCCGGACAAGGGTTTCAAATGTTTTAAATATGTTTTATTAGTTCTAAAATAAAAATTAAATGTTAATAATATCACTTTCAGCCGGACAAGGGTTACGAGGATATTAAATGTGTTTTTATAGTTCTAAAATAAAAATTGAATTTAAGGAATATCACTTGTAACCGGACAAGGGTTTCAAAGATTTTAAATGTGTTTTAATAGTTCTAAAATAAAAATTAAATTTAAGGAATATGACTTGTAGCCGGACAAGGGTTACATAGATTTTAAATGTGTTTTATTACTTCTAAAATAAAAATTAAATTTTAAAGAATATCACTTGTAGCCGGACAAGGGTTTCAACGATTTTAAATATGTTTTAGTAGTTCTAAAATAAAAATTAAATTTAAGGAATATTACTTGTCGCCGGACAAGGGTTTCAACGATTTTAAATGTGTTTTATTAGTTCTAAAATAAAAATTAAATT